TTTCTTTCCCGGTACGAGGGTGGGCTGAAAAGTTCATAGACTCGACTATGAACGAGTGATGCTAGAGCTGTGAAATCTTGCATGCATTCATTTCAACTGTTTCTTATTAATAACTGCATTGTTTCTTTCCCCGGTACGAGGGTGGGATGAAAAGTTCATAGGTTGACTATGAAGGAGTGATGCTAGAGCTGTGAAATCTTGCATGCATTCATTTCAACTCTTCTTATTAATAACTGCATTGTTTCTTTCCCGGTACGAGGGTGGGCTGAAAAGTTCATAGGTTGACTATGAAGGAGTGATGCTACAGATGTGAAATCTTGCATGCATTCATTTCAACTGTTCTTATTAATAACTGCATTGTTTCTTTCCCGGTACGAGGGTGGGATGAAAAGTTCATAGTTGACTATGAAGGAGTGATGCTAGAGCTGAAATCTTGCATGCATTCATTTCAACTGTTCTTATTAATAACTGATTGTTTCTTTCCCGGTACGAGCTGGGCTGAAAAGTTCATAGGTTGACTATGAAGGAGGATGCATTCATTTCATTTCAACTGTTCTTATTAATAACTGCATTGTTTCTTTCCCGGTACGAGGGTGGGATGAAAAGTTCATAGGTTGACTATGAAGGAATGATGCTACAGATGTGAAATCTTGCATGCATTCATTTCAACTGTTCTTATTAATAACTGCATTGTTTCTTTTTCCCGGTACGAGGTTGGGATGAAAAGTGATGCTACAGAGGAAATTTGATTCATTTCAACTGTTCTTAAGGTTTCTTTCCCGGTAGAGGGTGATGAAAAGTTCTAGATGCTACAGATGTGAAATCTTGCATGCATTCATTTCAACTGTTCTTATTAATAACTGCATTGTTTCTTTCCCGGTACGAGGGTGGGCTGAAAAGTTCATAGGTTGACGATGAAGGAGTGATGCTACAGATGTGAAATCTTGCATGCATTCATTTCAACTGTTCTTATTAATAACTGCATTGTTTCTTTCCCGGTACGAGGGTGGGATGAAAAGTTCATTTCAGGTTGACGATGAAGGAGTGATGCTAGAGATGTGAAATCTTGCATGCATTCATTTCAACTGTTCTTATTAATAACTGCATTGTTTCTTTCCCGGTACGAGGGTGGGCTGAAAAGTTCATAGGTTGACTATGAAGGAGTGATGCTAGAGCTGTGAAATCTTGCATGCATTCATTTCAACTGTTCTTATTAATAACTGCATTGTTTCTTTCCCGGTACGAGGGTGGGCTGAAAAGTTCATAGCATTGTTTCTTTCCCGACTATGAAGGAGTGATGCTACAGATGTGAAATCTTGCATGCATTCATTTCAACTGTTCTTATTAATAACTGCATTGTTTCTTTCCCGGTACGAGGGTGGGATGAAAAGTTCATAGGTTGACTATGAAGGAGTGATGCTAGAGCTGTGAAATCTTGCATGCATTCATTTCAACTGTTCTTATTAATAACTGCATTGTTTCTTTCCAGGTACGAGGGTGGGCTGAAAAGTTCATAGAACTATGAAGGGAGATGATCAGATGTGAAATCTTGCATGCATTCATTTCAACTGTTCTTATTAATAACTGCATTGTTTCTTTCCCCGGTACGAGGGTGGGCTGAAAAGTTCATAGGTTGACTATGAAGGAGTGATGCTAGAGCAGATGTGAAATCTTGCATGCATTAATTTCAACTCTTCTTATTAATAACTGCATTGTTTCTTTCCCGGTACGAGGGTGGGCTGAAAAGTTCATAGGTTGACTATGAAGGAGTGATGCTACAGATGTGAAATCTTGCATGCATTCATTTCAACTGTTCTTATTAATAACTGCATTGTTTCTTTCCCGGTACGAGGGTGGGCTGAAAAGTTCATATGGTTGACGATGAAGGAGTGATGCTACAGATGTGAAATCTTGCATGCATTCATTTCAACTGTTCTTATTAATAACTGCATTGTTTCTTTCCCGGTACGAGGGTGGGCTGAAAAGTTCATAGGTTGACTATGAAGGAGTGATGCTAGAACTGTGAAATCTTGCATGCATTCATTTCAACTGTTCTTATTAATAACTGCATTGTTTCTTTTTCTTTCCCGGTACGAGGGTGGGCTGAAAAGTTCATAGGTTGAAAAAGTTCTCATAGGACTATGAAGGAGTGATGCTACAGATGTGAAATCTTGCATGCATTCATTTCAACTGTTCTTATTAATAACTGCATTGTTTCTTTCCCGGTACGAGGGTGGGCTGAAAAGTTCATAGGTTGACTATGAAGGAGTGATGCTAGAGATGTGAAATCTTGCATGCATTCATTTCAACTGTTCTTATTAATAACTGCATTGTTTCTTTCCCGGTATTGGGATGAAAAGTTCATTTTGACTATGAAGGACGATGGTGGGATGAAAAATCTTGCATGCATTCATTTCAACTGTTCTTATTATGAACTGCATTGTTTCTTTCCCGGTACGGTACGAGTGATGAAAAAGTTCATAGGTTGACTATGAAGGGT